AAAAAAAAAAGTCAAGTAGCTCTTTGACCAAATGCTGATATGAATTCTTGTTTAAAGATATATTTCTTCTTATGAAACAGGCTAATGGTTTATGGCAGCTATTTTGTACTTTGGAGCTTCCTCTGATCCCAATTTTGGCAGGTAAGTTACCAACAAAGACAAAGGGAGTCATTTCACTAGAGGAGTCGTCATACTGCTTGGGTACAAATCTCAGTAGCTCATAGCAATAGACACTACATCTGCTGGGCTTTCAAGAGAGGCGAGCCCTGTATTTTCCTTTCTGAAACAGGAGGGATTGGGCCATGCCACATCCTGATGTGGAAGGACACAGAGTTCTGACATTTGGTCAGTGAGGATCCCTGCTTGTCTGCCAGGTGGAGAGCCTTGCTAGGTATTGTCTCTAATCCCAGTTTGCTGTGCTCTGCTTGGCCCAAGAGGTTCCAGTTGCCTTGCAGGCCTCCCTCCCACACCTGCCCCTGTCTAGAGTCTGCCAGGCCCAGAGGAGGGTAGAGCCTCATGGCCAGGGTGCTTTACCATCCCCTCACAGGCCAGTTCTGTCAGTGTCCCTGAGTCCTGATCTCTCATGGGTGGCTGCCAGGCCCTGAGCTGAGTACACAGAAGTTGCTGTCACTGTGTCCTCATCAGAAGGGGCTCTCTCATCTTTACCAAAAAGAATTCACTAAGGCAACACAAACATGTCTGAACTGATTTTGAATCACAGTGATGGAAAACCACAAGATTCAGGTGAACAAAGAAGAAATGGAGAGGATATCGGCGCTCCTTGGGGTGAGCTGTTATTTCAGGCTCTGTTGTTGCTCTCTGGCAGTCCCAGTGGGCTGTGCTTTCCCTGCCTGTGGCCTGTCTGATACTGACCCTGTCCTTGCCTGTCGTGACCCCAAGGGGAGACCTGAGCACTGAAGGACTTAAAACACACTGTCTCTGTCATGCAGGGGGCAGCACTGCCTTCAGGAAGTGTGTAGGAGATTCTTTAGTGGATCTTAGCTCCTTCTCAGAAGTCAGCTTTTTCTTACAAGGCCATTAACCTGAATTTGGTGAAGGAATTTTTGAGTTTCTTGAAAATTAAAAATAGGGAAAATTTTAAAAAATAAAAATAGGAAAAGATGTGTGGGAAATGTATAAAAAACATTCCACCTGAATTATATCAAAGGAAACTCTAGGATAACCACACTTTGGCCAGACCATGGGATATCTAGAGCCCCCTTCCTGCTGCTGAAAGAGACCACCACCCTGCCTTTGGAGTCATCTATTTAGGTTTTACTTTTCTTTATTTTTTTTGTATTTTAGTACAGGGTCTACAGGGTCTACAGTGTCTCACTATGTAGATTGGACTCGTAGTGATCCGCCTGTGTTCAGCCTCCCAAAAGCTGGGATTACAGGCTCGTGCCACCACACCCAGTCTCAATTGCCATCTCGGCGCTCTCCAGGAGCGGAGCCAGCATGGCACACTGGGGATCTAACTTCAGCTGCTGTGTCTGCCTAAGCAGGTGCTTTAATTTGCTGAGCTATTTGGCCAGCCCTATTTTTCTTTATTATTTTCCACATCTGTGCCAACCTGATGGTTTGCTTCCTTTTGATTTGTGAGTCAATCAGTAATTGGTGGATGACTTTCCCCTTAGCCCTGGTGCCTCTGCCCCATTGATGCTACTGTGTGGTGCTTGGAGCTGTGGTCTGTGTCACAGTGGTGTGTGCCCTGCTGTCCAGAAGCATCTTGTAGTTGCTGAGTTATGATCACTACAAACCACACATGAGTTTAGTTTCTTTTTTCCTGTTTACTAATATGATTAGTAGCTTTTCTGCTGCCAGGTGGTGGTGTGCACCTGTAATTCCAGGACTCAGGCGGCTGAGGGAGGAAAGTCACGGCTAGTTCAAATCCAGCTTAGGCTACACAATGAGTTCAAGGCCAGTGTGAAGTAGATAGAATGACTCTGTCTCGAAAAGCAAAAAACAAAACTAAACAAAACCCAAGTAGCTTGTCTACTGTCACTGGCTATGAGGAGTTTCTTTTCTATAGAGGATCTGCTCCAGTCCTTGACTCATTTTTATCATGACTTCTAGGATGTCTTTCTGTGTTCTGAATATAGCCTACTCCCTCCACCTCTCCTTCTCTCTGATTTCATGTGGGGCAGGATACTTTCTAGTGCTAGTGTTTGCCCACCCAAGTTTTGGTGTATTATTTTTGTTTCTTTCAGTTTGTTTCCCTGGGTTTGGGGGGAGGGTAATTCTGTGAAGCTGACCATTCCCCCAGGAGTCAAAATATATATATATTTTAATGTCCATTTTGGTAAAGTATGGACTATTTTTATTCCATTAAGATCTTTTGTTGGGAATTGATAAATTAAAGAATAAAGTAATTAATGTGAAATTATGCAATATTAATGTGAAAACAATGAATGAGATTAATTGTATTTGTCATATTTTTAGGCACGTCTCAAGGAATTGGAAAAAGAAGCCCATTTTGTTGCAGGAGAACAGTTTCTTATAATGAGTAATAATCAACTTAGAGAGGTAATGCTAAGTTTTGGTTCTTTATAAATATATATATTTTTTATTTAAGAGTTAAAAGGGAGATTTATTCTGAATTTACAAATATTGTTTTATGTTGATAGTCTAAAAAATACGTAAATTGTTTTGCATTCTCTCATAAGAGAGAGTGATAAATAGATTGAGGTTCATTATTATATTTTTTTTAATTTTAAAAATTTTTTCCCAATACATACCAATTTTATTTTTATTTTTTATTTTATTTTTTCCCATAATTTTATTGATAAACAAATAGCAATGAGACAGTTTCAAATCAAGTTGGTAGGACAGTTTCAATAATTAACACATTGCATACATTCTTAGTGGTTAATTGCTGTACAAGGTGTGGACATGATATCCTACTTACAAACACCATTAGAACAAATCACTCTGTTCATTAAGAGAATGTAACTATATATCTATCCTAACCACTTTGAATACACAGATACAAAATGGACATTCATCTGTATACCCTTTTTTGGTTAAGTTCCGTTATTTGAATATTATAGGTGTGTAAACTCAGCAAAATATTCTAAAAGAGTCCAGTAGTCCATAATAGTATTGGATCTTCCGTTTGACTGGCAATGTCAGAAATTGTTGACCTGAGTCCCCTATAGCTCAACATAACAGCATGGCTTTACTTCTTATATTTTGTTTTTATACTTTTCTGCTGGATGGTTAAGACCAAGGTAAAGCAGGACCTATGCAACAAGAGTTGTAGCTTTTGGGTCTGATAAGGTCAGTGAAATCCCCTCAGGATTTATCCTGAGATCCTGTACCTCAGATTGTAGAACCTTTGTCAGTGTCAGCCATGTGGATGAGTCACGGCCATTGCTTGGCCAATGTGCTCTCTGTGAAAGCTTGAGAGAATGTTTTCTCTCCATGTGACTCTCCTTAGGCACACTCTACATATTCTATCACTTTCCTCTTTGGCCCCATAATCTCCTTGATCAGAAAATTTGGGACACTACCAAGTTACATGACGTTACAGTACAAGTTCTCATATGTCCTGAGTCTTAATTGACCTTAGAAGGCTAGGGCCAAAATGTTGGCTTTCCTTGCAGCCCTCCTTTTTCTCTAATTTTGGTCTGCAAACTTAGGTTGTTAACCCTCCAGAAAACAAGCTTATTGTTATTACCATAAAACTTAGGCTGTTAAGCTTAACCTCACTATCTGTCTGCATATCAAGCATCTTAGGCATAATATGGAACAGGTATTTTTCATCAAGTATTGATATGTTGAACTTTAAGTCCCTACAGAATATAATAAAAAAAGCCTTTAAGTCTGAGAAAAGTACCAAATGAGAATGTAAGCGTTTTATAACATTTATTCGGGCGCTTCTCTGTGTGGTGGTCTTAACCAGAATGGTGCCATTCGCTGCCTCCCCTCGGGAGCTCTTTCACATGCATGCATTGCTGTTTTTGAAGATCCTCTTTGGCAAGTTGAAGCTGCACCTGTTGAGTCCCAGGAAGATCCTTCCCAGACCAGGGGCACAGCGGCACCTGTCCACATCTGAGGCTGTGGTAAGGGTCCCATATCTTTCTTTGTGACATACTTGCTGTCTGCACCAGGGGAACCACCCCTTGCTCCCAGGCAGCCTCCGGCTCAGGTGCTCCCCCTTCCCCACCCCCTGCAGGGACTCTAGGCTGTGGACCAGGAGAAGCAGATGGCTGCTCTCCAGGAGCCTCTGGCAAGGGTCATTTGGTAGAGTTTTGTCCTTGAAACACATTCTTGACAACCCAGTCGGGACTTTATGCTCTGTGTACCCCCAAACTGAGATCACCAGTATTCTCCTCCAAATTTATTTTAGAAAATTTTAGTGGCCCTTCTCTTCAGAGGAATAAACTCTTAAAAGATCGTGAATAGTGAGATTCTACTCTAAACTGCAGAGCAGAAATAGATTTCAAAGCCCCCAAGTGACTTTACTCAGAGGATGCTGACTGGAGGCTGGCAAATAAGTGTACTTCTGTAACCTAGGTGGACACAGCTGAGGCCCTGCTTTATGCCTCGTGTGCTATTAGCTTTGGATTTTGAGGCAGAAGAAGCTTCTTTCCAAGACTCCTCTAGCATGCTTCCTCTCTAGCGCCATGTCTACCTCCTTGCCTCAGCCCATGGTGGCACTTAGGGGAGGATCCCTGTGGAGCCCACTCTCCAACAGTCCACACCTGGCCCTAGCAGCTCTGGGTGGATGCTGAGTGAATAGGTATCTCCCAAAGAAAATGCTCCATGAAGGGGCTTGGAACTGTCATCCAGCTCTTATTCTTCACCTCAGGAAAGGGTCCCTCCCTCCTGTCAGGTCCTTGCATGCAGTGGTATAGTAATAGGGGAGTAGAGGGTTGCAGCCCCATGCCCTCTGCCACCTTACTTGACTGCTCTGTGCCTTGGTTTATGAGTCTATGAAAAGGGATCTTGTGAGGATTCAGTGAAAATACATGTGCTGTGTATCTAACAGCAACAGCAAAAAACCCAGTCAGAGTTGGCTGTAACCATTACACCCAAGTACCTGAGCATCTTCGTTGAATTTTTCTCTTTCTTTCAAGCTCACCAGTGCCAAGTCCCACACTCTTCCTGAATAATTTGTCCTCTCTCACTTGATTTTACTCCAAGCCTTCTAGCCTGTTACCTTTCTTCCCCTACCTGTGTTGAGAACACTAGAGAGATTCTCGGGCCCAGGCCCAGCGTGTGAGTGAGACTGCCTGGGGCCCGCCAGATCTTCATTTGACCCACAGCCCAGGCCCAGTGTGAAACCCTTCAGCAGAACTCCCTGTACAGAGGCTAGAGGCAAGACCCACCCAGCTGATTCAGGAGCAGAACATCTTGCCAGAGTGGCACAGAGGGTTCACCTCCAGGGGCTACAGCAGGAAGAAGTGGAGCACAGCAGCCAGACCAAGCCAAACCCACCTGAAGGAGTCTAAACTTTATAGATCCAGACCTGGTGCTAAGGTAATAACTCTATCTAAGCTCTACTTCAAAGGTCAGAAGACAGTGGTATACAAAATGACAAAGAGAAGGAACAAAATGCAATCTCAGGTCCAGAGTCCACCCAGAACAAATGCAGAAGACACTAGTATAGAAGAAATTGGAAATCATATACCTGAAATCTCTGAAATAATAGCATTGGAAGTAAAGAAACAACTGCAGAAAGGTATAGAGGAAATCAGATCAGAAATAATTTCTGAAGTAAAAAAAGAAATGATAACTATAATCAAAGAAGTACTAAGTGCTTCTAAAGAA